CACACACACACACACACACACACACACACACACACACACACACACACGATTTTAGTAAGAAAGAAGGTGGAGGGGCACCTGGGTGGCTCAGTCTGTTAAGCGTCTGACTTTGGCTCAAGTCATGATGTCACAGATCGTGGGTTCGAGCCCTGCGTCAGGCTGTGCTGACAGTTCAGAGCCTGGAGCCTGCTGGATTCTGTCTCCCTCTCGCTCTGCCCCTCCCCTGCTCATTTTCTGTTGCTCTCTGTCTCTCAAAAACAGAGAAATGTTAAAAAATATTAAAAAAAAAAAGAAAGAAAGAAATAAGGTGGAGGTCTACTGCTACCGAAGAGAAGGAACACTCTTGACAATGAGTTAAGTCTTAAAGGGCACTGACCCAATCATTAAGATTGGTGTGTGTTTGTTTGTTTTTTAATTATTTTGAGAGACAGAGAGAGTACACATGCAAGCAGGGGAGGGGCAGAGAGAAAGAGAGAGAGAGAACCCCAAGCAGGCTCCGCACTACACTGTCAGCACAGAGCCCTACATGGGGCTCACAAACCATGAAATCATGATGACCTGAGCTTAAATCAAGTGTCAGACACTTAACCGAATGAGACACCCAGGCGCCCCAGACTGTTTTTTAGAATTATAACCAGTTTGGATTATAGCTATTTAAATGATACACTATCAAGCTGAAAAATATTATTGATTTAGAACATGAATTCCTAAAGTATAATGGTCCTGTGATATATATATTCTGTGTAATTTGGTAAAAACATTTTAAATAATGATGTATCATGTGCATAATATAACAACAGTCTTAGAATACTTAAGTATTCACAAAAGTTGAAAAAGCATGATTATTTTGAACTATTGTCCAAATACTATTTGTCCAGCTACAAAGTCAAATATCTCATATTTATTTATGTAAGATTATACTCAATGTAAACAACATTCAATCATTTACCTGGTGAGCAAACTTCTTGTTCTGTAATTAAAACACCTTTGGAATTATTTTAATTCTAAAAATATTTATTGTACTAAAGAACTTATTTTCATGTAACAAATAACTTTCACTGACCCCCAAAAAAGTTTATAAACTTTCTAAACATCTAACTGCAAACAAAGCCAGTTTTCAGAATCCGGCTTCAAATGTTAGGTCATCATAATAAGATTATTAAATATTTGCTTAAATTTGTGTAGAAATGTGTGACCAGCACATATGTAATTGGTTGCTTATAACACATTTATTATATCACCGTGTTACATGTCCAAATTAAATGTACATGAAATTTTCACTCAGTATAACTACAACCAAAATGCCACAGTCAGCTAATGTTTTCCATTTTTTTACAGCAGAAACTAAATACATTAAATGTAGTCTGTAGCACAAAAGACTCACATCAATAGTTTCCAAGTATGAATTTGTACCCATGCTTTTTGATCCTAAAAAAATCCAACCTCAGTTCCAATTTTATTTCATTTTATTCATAATATACATATGAAGACAAGCCTCTTTGTTATACCTTCAAAGCATTCCCTCTAAAACATTCCCTTAAATCATTGCAGCTTACAAACAATAGCTACTCAGTTGATGAAATAACAAGGTAAATATGCCTTAAAGATAGGGAACACTATTAATCACAGTTCCCAATATAATAATCTAGGGAAATATTATGTTTTCGATAAACCGAGCAATTGTCATGATTTCATAAGGATCAGTTCCTCTCTCTTGTAGAAGGCAGAGAATTATTATTCCTTTTGGTAATTTCTCTAGTATATTTCAATGTGATTTCAATGTATACAATTGTAATTTCTAAAAGCTTTTTACTGACAAGTCTATTGAGTAAAGGAAGGTGCACATTTATATCAATTTTATCTAAACATTGAGGTTCAATTCTATGTGATATGAATATGCACTTGCAATGTGGAGTAAAGGTAAAAAGTAAGGGTGATTATGAAAGAACTGTGCCATTTCCCTTTGTCTACTCCTGAAATAGAAATTGTATTTGGCAGAAAAAGCTCCATGGAGAATCACAATAGTTACCTGTTTCTAACAGAACTCTCACAACATCCACCTTTCCAAATAAAGCTGCTTCATGAAGTGCACTCCCCTTTTCTGTCTGGAAAAAAAAAAAAAGAAGAAGAAGAAGAAAAGGAAAAAGAAAAAGGAAAAAGAGAAAGAAGCACAGTTGCATTAGGAATGCTTACCAGTTAAAAAAAATCCTGTGACTTTATGTATTTGTACATATTCTCTGTAATCTAAGCACACCCTGACAGAAAGGTACTATGGAATAAAAGAAGAAATTCTAAGAACAAAATCCAATGCAGGTCCTCCTGCATACGTGTATGTGTGTTAAATTGAATAATGTCATTATGGCAATTCTGTCTCCTTGTACTAAAACTAATCTCTACTGTGGGATTCTAATCTCAGTTCAAAGTAAAAATATCATTATAAAATAATATATAATGTAAAAGCTTTGTTAATCAATAAAATCCTATTGCATAATTAACCCACTCTAAAATGATTTACAAATGCATTACTAAGGAGACTGGGAATCAATGTGATCTAAATTTATCTTCAAAAAAAAGCATGACTGCAATATATCTGAATTATAGTTTGACTGTCATGATATGTACAGACACTAATAAAAAATGGAAATAAAAATAATTTATAAATATTTTATAAAACTGTACAAAAGGAAAAATAAACTACAGAAATGTATTCAGCTCCTTAAGAAATAATCTCAATATGGGGTACAAATACATTATTTTTTGACTCTCTGAAAAATACCCTTTGAAATAATCTAATTCTTTTCACTCTTATTGTGTTTCCCAAGCAATTTTCTGATTACTAATTTTATTTCCTTCCACTCTTAAAAAAATTTGGACTTTATGTTAGAAAAACTCTTCCTGGAATAGCATACCTTAAATATTCTGAAAAACTAAACTACATTTTAAATACAGGGAAGAAAAGGAAAAACAACGGAATTCCTCAGAGCCTGGGGAAGGGAAGTGGGGACAGAAACTATGAACCCAAGGCTTTAGTACTGGAGCAGGAAACTGTTCCAGGCAAACCGCCAATCCATGGCAGACTAGTGCCTGGGCTTTAACCAGCTACTCAAGGTGCGAGAGGGCAGGAGACAAAGAAGCCCAAGAAAGCTGAGAGATAGACCAAGGGCTCCTGCAAAAATCTAAAACCTCTGGAGGGCACATTGCTGGTTCAATGGGAGAGCATGCAACTCTTTATCTTGAGGTCATGAATTCCAGCCTCATGTTGGGCACAGCGATTACTTTAAAAAAATAAAACCTAAAATCTGTAAAGGACAACATCCTTAGTTAAAAAAAATAATAAATGTGTTGCACAGACGGAGAAATTAAAAATTCCTATCTAGATCATAGTTCTAAGTGGAGTACAGTAGTAGCAAAAATAACACCCTCCCCCTAAGAATTTCTAACCACAGTTCTGCCCTCACATGGTCTTGGGATCAAAATTACATAATCTCTGTGCTCCCCTAACCCTCCAATCCTGAGTGAAAAATGTAGAATTAAGTGATCCTGGGTTTGTAGTACCAAGGCAAATATAAATGCTTATTAGCAGAAACAGATACAAATCCATTGTGAAAATAATACACTTTAAACTCAGGCCTCTGAGAGTTCCAACAGATCAAGCTCTAAGAAACACAAATTCAAAATCAGAAATCACTGAACATTAAAGAAAACAAGCCATGAGCAAGAATAAAAGAATAAAACCTATAAAAACTTCATATGTTATGTGATGGTCAGCTACAGAATATAAAAAATATATATGATCCATGAAAGGAAGATATCAAATATAACTAAAGAACAAGAGGAGTATTAAAACTGGCCAGATTTGAAATGAACTAAATAGCACTTCTAAAAATAGAAAACATAATATTTTAAATAGAAAGGTTTAATAACAGATAAGATACAGCTGGGAAAAAAAGTACTGAACTGGATGGTGGATTTTTTTTTAAGTACATAATGCAATTCAAAGAAACATGAGACGGAAAATGTAAAACACTGAATAGAGTAAGACTCAGTTCTAGAAGAAGAGGACAGGAATAAGTAATTCAATGACTAAAGACTTTCCAGAATTAATGAGATACTAATATTCAATTCTGGGAATACCAAGCAAGGTTAAGTGAGAAGAATACATTGTGAATATATTACAGCAAACTACAGAACACCTAAGATAATAAGAATACCTTAAAAACATCCTAAGAGAAAAAACTGTCTAAAAATAAAAATTAGAGGGGTGCCTGGGTGGCTCAGTCGGTTAAGCGCCCGACTTCAGCTCAGGTCACGATCTCGCAGTCCGCGAGTTCAAGCCCTGCGTCGGGCTCTGGGCTGATGGCTCAGAGCCTGGAGCTTGCTTCCGATTCTGTGTCTCCCTCTCTCTCTGCCCCTCCCCCGTTCATGCTGTGCCTCTGTCTCAAAAATAAATAAATGTTAAAAAAAATTTTAAAAATAAATAAATAAATAAATAAAAATAAAAATAAAAATTAGATCAACAGCTGGCTTCTCCACAAAAACAATAAAACCAGAAGAAAGTATAATATCTTCATGTATCAAGAGAAAATAACTACTAATCTAGCATTCTATAGCCAGCCAAACTATCTTCAAAGAATGAGAGCAAAATAAAGACATTTTCAAACAATGGTTACTACAGATCCTTAAAAAGAGAATTTCCATGAATTTAATTCAGAAGGACTAGAGGTCCAAGAAGTAATGTTGAATAGAGAATGATTAAGAGACCGCTAAGTCTAATAATTAAAAATATAACACTAGGAGCACCTGGGTGGCTCAGTCAGTTAAGTGGCTGACTCTAGCTCAGGTCACGATCTCACCACGTGTGGGTTCAAGCCCCACTTCAGGTTCTGCGCTGACAGCTCAGAGCCTGGAGCCTGCTTCAGATTCTGTGTCTCCCTCTCTCTCTGCCTTCCCCAACTCACACCATGTCTCTCTCTGTTTTTCAAAAATAAAATCTTAAAAAAAAATTTTAAGAAAATAAAAATATAACAATAATGTCTACTTTTTTTGTACTAATTTGGTTTCCTAGATACTCTGATACAGTAGAGTGGGCACTGTAGGCACTGAAATGGACTATTCTAGGAAATGAAATTATGTAAACTTCACTATAAATAAACAATTCTTCAGGAGGAAGCAGATGTAAAAGACCTGGGTTCCAGTGACAGTTTAGCTTTCAGTTGCTATATAACTTTAGGGAAATCACTTAATATCTTTGTAAATTCATATAGCTTGTAAATAAAGAAAGTATTAAAAACTAGATAGGGTTATTGGGAATGCTAAACAAGATACACAACAAATAAGACTTAAAAAGCATTTTATTTACTTATAAAATAATGAGTATTATCATTGCTGTTAAAAATGCAATTAGAAAACTTTTTATTTATTTTTTTAATATATGAAATTTATTGTCAAATTGGTTTCCATACAACACCCAGTGCTCATCCCAAAAGGTGCCCTCCTCAATACCCATCACACACCCCCCCCTCCCTCCCACCCCCCATCAACCCTCAGTTTGTTCTCAGTTTTTAACAGTCTCTTATGCTTTGGCTCTCTCCCACTCTAACCTCTTTTTTTTTTTTCCTTCCCCATGGGTTTCTGTTAAGTTTCTCAGGATACACATAAGAGTGAAACCATATGGTATCTGTCTTTCTCTGTATGGCTTATTTCACTTAGCATCACACTCTCCAGTTCCATCCACGTTGCTACAAAAGGCCATATTTCATTCTTTCTCATTGCCATGTAGTATTCCATTGTGTATATAAACCACAATTTCTTTATCCATTCATCAGGTGATGGACATTTAGGCTCTTTCCATAATTTGGCTATTGTTGAGAGTGCTGCTATAAACATTGGGGTAAAAGTGCCCCTATGCATCAGTACTCCTGTATCCCTTGGATAAATTCCTAGCAGTGCTATTGCTGGGTCATAGGGTAGGTCTATTTTTAATTTTCTGAGGAACCTCCACACTGCTTTCCAGAGCGGCTGCACCAATTTGCATTCCCACCAACAGTGCAAGAGGGTTCCCGTTTCTCCACATCCTCGCCAGCATCTATAGTCTCCTGATTTTGTTCATTTTGGCAACTCTGACTGGCGTGAGGTGATATCTGAGTGTGGTTTTGATTTGTATTTCCCTGATGAGGAGCGACGTTGAGCATCTTTTCATGTGCCTGTTGGCCATCCGGATGTCTTCTTGAGAGAAGTGTCTATTCATGTTTTCTGCCCATTTCTTCACTGGGTTATTTGCTTTTTGGGTGTGGAGTTTGGTGAGCTCTTTCTAGATTTTGGATACTAGCCCTTTGTCCGATATGTCATTTGCAAATATCTTTTCCCATTCCGTTGGTTGCCTTTTAGTTTTGTTGGTTGTTTCCTTTGCTGTGCAGAAGCTTTTTATCTTCATAAGGTCCCAGTAATTCACTTTTGCTTTTAATTCCCTTGCCTTTGGGGATGTGTCGAGTAAGAGATTGCTATGGCTGAGGTCAGAGAGGTCTTTTCCTGCTTTCTCCTCTAAGGTTTTGATGGTTTCCTGTCTCACATTCAGGTCCTTTATCCATTTTGAGTTTATTTTTGTGAATGGTGTGAGAAAGTGGTCTAGTTTCAACCTTCTGCATGTTGCTGTCCAGTTCTCCCAGCACCATTTGTTAAAGAGACTGTCTTTTTTCCATTGGATGTTCTTTCCTGCTTTGTCAAAGATTAGTTGGCCATACGTTTGTGGGTCTAGTTCTGGGGTTTCTATTCTATTCCATTGGTCTATGTGTCTGTTTTTGTGCCAATACCATGCTGTCTTGATGATTACAACTTTGTAGTAGAGGCTAAAGTCTGGGATTGTGATGCCTCCTGCTTTGGTCTTCTTCTTCAAAATTGCTTTGGCTATTTGGGGCCTTTTGTGGTTCCATATGAATTTTAGGATTGCTTGTTCTAGTTTCGAGAAGAATGCTGGTGCAATTTTGATTGGGATTGCATTGAATGTGTAGATAGCTTTGGGTAGTATTGACATTTTGACAATATTTATTCTTCCAATCCATGAGCAGGGAATGTCTTTCCATTTCTTTAAATCTTCTTCAAATACCTT